CCCCCCCCCCCCCCCCATCTGATTTATCCACTGCTAATTTATTCCAGCTAGCCCAGTGAATTCTATCTACCCCATCCCCATTTTTACCCCACCAAAAGGATGCAATCTCTCTGCCTATATCATTACAGACCCCCACAGGTAGTTTGAAAACTAACATGAAATATATAGGAAGGGCACTTAAAACTGTCTTGATGAGGATCTCCCTCCCTGCCTCACTTAAGTATTTATTTTTCCAACTTGAAATTCTAGCCATCACACATTCTTTAACAAAGGAGAATGTTTCTTTTTTTGTTTCTTCCTACACCTAATGGAAGCCCTAAATATATGGATTTATTGGCCAAAACAATTCCATTAAAGGACCTGCAGATATCATTTTTAACAACATCTGGTGTATTTCCGGAGAAAAAGACATTAGATTTATGTAAATTAAGTGTCTGACCAGAAGCTGCACAGTAGGTATTTATAATATTCAAAGATATGGACATGATAAGAATCAGCTTGGCAAAAAATTAGGGAATCGTCAGCAAAAAATAAGTGGGAAATAATAGGAGCATGTCTACTAATTTTCAAGCCTTTAAAAGAAAGAGAGGAACAAGCATGGTTATCTAGATTTGAGAAAGCTTCAAACATGAGAATAAAAAGATAAGGGGATAAGGGATCACCCTGTCTTAATCCCCTTGATGGCACTACATTTCCTACAATTTGACCATTGATGTTAAATGCAAAAGAAGAGAACTGATGCATACCCAAATCCACTTCAAAAATATCTGACTAAACCCCATATGCATACATACTCTAATCAAAAAACCCCATTCAACCTGGTCATAAGCTTTAGCCATATCTAATTTCAGGGCCATGTAGCAAATTTTGCCTTTAGATTTCCTATTCAAAAAGTGAAGACATTCATTTGCTATAATAACATTGTCCAAAATTTGTCTTCCTGGCACAAAAGCAGCTTGGTTTTGGGATATACAAACAGGCAAGAAACCCTTAATTTCGTTAGCCAATATTTTAGCAATCAACCTATAAGTAATGGTACAAAGACTAATAGGTTTGAAGTCTGACACTTTCTGAGGATGTTTCATTTTTGGAATAAGGGTAATGATTGTATGGTTTGTGGCTTTTGGGATACAACAAGAATGAAAGAAATTTGACACAGCAGCACACAAGTCATTTTTTATGATATGGCAAGAGTTCTGGAAAAAAGATAGGGAGAAACCATCCATACCTGGTGCCTTCCCTGGATCCATCTCCTACAGTGCAGCCTTGATTTCACCTTCATCTACAGCTCTGGTTAATCTCTGATTTATCTCTGGAGTAATGGATCTTGGTATACCCTTCAGCATTTCTTCATTGAACACAGGGTTTTCAGATGTAAATAATCTCTGAAAAAACTGCTCTATTTCGTGCACAGATTTTGTCACATTCTTACACTTCTCCCCAGATGTTTTCACTAATTGCTCTATACTATTCCTGCACCTTCTCTGTCTCACACATGCCTGGAAAAAAGCAGCATTCCTATCCCCTTTCTTCAACCATCTTACCCTTGACTTTTGTCTCCAATAGATCTCTTCATCTATATATGCTTTATGGAGCCTTTCTTTGGCTCCACTCCTCCCAATCTCTCTCACCCCCTGCCTTCCCAGCCTTTCTAACTTTTCATTGCATTCTTTTATAATGGAGACTGAGTTTGTTTTTCTCTGAGCTGCCCACCCCACCAGTCTATACTTCACATTTCTGATTTTCCTCTGAAACTTGTACAAACCCCTGCCATTCACCTCCACTGCCCAAGCTTTTGCTACACATTTCTCAAAACCCTCCATTTTAGCCCATCTGTTGTCAAAGAAAAACCTTTTCTTCTCTTTCTCTTCTAAAGTGTCAGAGGTCAACAGTAACATACAATGATCAGATGAAAACATAAAGATGTGCAGGACAGAGGAGTTTGGGTATAACATGAACCACTCAGGGGATAGAAAGACTATCTAGTTTTTCCTCCACAAACTGAGTTCTTTGCCTATTATTTGTCCAAGTGTATGGGTGGCCCACACAAGGACAATCTACCAGGTTAAGGGCCTCAGTAAACCTCCTAAAATTATAAAAAGAAGCTTGGCTTCTCACTACCTAAGAGACTCCCATATATTTATAAAAATTATAAAAAGAAGCTTGTCACACTCATATCTGCATTTTGGAATAAAACCTGCTATCCCAGGCACCCAAAGGGACTCCCATATATTTATAGAACACCCATTTCCCACTTGATATCTGAGTCCTAACCTAAGAGATTGCCTGCACTCTAGCCAACATTTCCAAACCCATGAGTCAGTGTGTTTCATTTTGACATTTAAGAAGTTTTTCCTATGAAAATATTTTCCTTTCATCAACCTACTCATTAGAATATTTGGCTTTGTAAGCATTCTCCATATTTGCTTGAGAATCAAAGCTTCATTCAACTTACCTAAATCTCTAAACCCTAACCCCC